TTCCTTGCAAACTCTTATAAAATTAAAGTGGACAAATGGATTAAGATTGTTCTTGTTCTTATCAGATTCTTCAGTGATATGGCTAAACTAATGATCAAGAAGAATATCCACTTTCATTTCAAATGCAATATTTGAGGTAACTAACTTAGCACATGTAAATATTGAAATAAACAGTCTGTAATGTGTACCTGGTTCACTCTGTTGGTCAGTCGATTTCAGAAAACTAACATACTATTAGGTACAGCATTAGGATACGAAAGCTATTGATGCACTTAATAATCAAGTCAAATATTCTATCAGAAGTTATGTTACAAATAAAATATCAGTTATAAAAACAAGGATGAAAATTTTGAATGAAACTTTTAACAAACACTTCAATTATTGGTGACTACATCAGATAAATTCTGAATTCCGAGAATTGATAGTTAATACATCTGAACGTTAATTAAATTGAGTCATATCGTGATGCAGGTAATCAATAATTTATTCCACCTAAACCTGAAAAAGTTAAAAGAAAATGTTGGTATTAACTCTTAAAAGCAGAGTTTCTTCTGGGGACGTTAGATCCCCAGAACTCGCTTGAAACATGCCTTATTTTGAATTTCACGTTTGCGAGCATGGGCTAATCAGTTGACCTTGAGATGGACAATCAATGAAGTTAATACTGAAAGTATACGATTAACGGAAACACAGGGTTGATACTAGAATCATAATCAGGTATATAATTTTCTTTTTATTCATAGATTTATTCGTTTTACCAGTCATGATAATATGAATGCTTCAGTAATAAAATTTCACATATCGTGTGTTGGGGACGTTAGATCCCCAGAACTCGCTTGATAAATGCCTTATTTTGGATTTCACGTTTGAGAGCATGGGCTCATCAGTTGACCTTGAGATTTCATTTCCCACCAGGAAAATCCATGGGTGTGATTGGCTGCTGTATATTTTAGTGTGCTATTTTTGCGACTGTCCCAAGGACGTTTCTATCATGTATAAATAAACGAGATTTGTGTGATTGATTGCATTGTGATTGCTGGGTGTTTGTAGAATATACTTTCAACGCTTATCAAGACTTCTGTTTTGCCTTTCTTGGATGAAGGTAGCCTAGCTGGAGGCTGGTTCATTGTCTCGTTCTAGTTTATCGAGTAAGGTGAACTCGTAATAGCTTCAAGCGTACCTAGTGTCAAACCTAACAGTTTCCATTGTCTATTATTGATGAATAATGAAGATGTTCTTCAATAAAAAAAATTTGAGTTTAAGAGCTGCTGATTATTTACTACTAACATAACACGCCATTCCCAATAATACTGATTGTTGCGTTTATCATCATTTCGGACAACATGTGCACTGCAACAAGTTGTTAGTGATCTTTGCTACACACCTTTTTTGGATCAATGAATCATGTTTATGTGCAAAGAAATCTAATCTTGGATGATGATAATAAAAGCTGAAATATTTATGTAATATAAACAACGTTAGTTATAACGTGTACCGTATTTCAATATTTCCGTTTTGTTGAATAATGTGAAATAATGAATCTGCTTTGTAATGTGTGTCTCGTTGAATAAATACGAAACTGTTGATGGAACTTTAATTTATTATTAATTTATTTTCATCTGTAAATATCAGTGTAGGTTTTCACAAATTTTCCAGTTGTGATATTTTATGAAATTTTGAAAATTATTTCAACATTTTATTTTCTCAAAAATAAAAGCAATGTGTCTGATTATGTTATAAAATGCTGAATTCACTAGCTAGAACTAACCACTGAATTTAAATTTAATACGACATGTACGTACTGTTATACGGTTTGAAAATCAACTCGTTGAAGTGCGATTTCACTGTTGAATTTTTTGTGTTTTAATGTTTGAGTTGGGATAAAAAAAAATTTCTAAATATAATTATTGATAAATTTTTTTGGTATGTTTATGCAAATTTTTAAGTATTAACTGCATGAGACTATTTCTCATTCATATTGAAATATAAGCATGAAATTGTGCATTATGAAAGACGGTGATTACGAAAAAAATGTAGAAATAAATTGTTTGTAACTAAATTATGGTTACTGTTCTTGTTTTTCTAAATTCTTTATGGAATATTAAAGTGATGTTGAAGTGAATATTCCACTAGGTCTTTAGAAAAACCAGGACAGTGACCATAGTTGTCAGAATCAAAACATACCGAGTTATTATTGAAAAATGACTAATTTTTTTTTGAGGCAATAAATATAAAACGAAGAAATTATCTAACGTACAAGGTACATAACCATTCAAATAAAAATAATCATTGTGTCATTAGCTATTAAGTCGAAATGAAGGGCGTATTATTTGGATAATAGTAAAAAAAATTAATTTCGAAAACGAACTCGCTGAAAAGTAACTGACATGAATTCATTGGAAAAAAAATCAAATTTTATCAGCAAAACCAATAAGTTAATAATATGTAAATTCACACTGTACATCTCACTCACATATATTCACCAAATGTTTTCTATGTTATTGAATTGATTGATGATTACAGTTTTTGTTCAAGTAATTTTACAAGTAATTTTATTATAATCAAGAAAAAAAATCAACTCCTGTCTGCCATTTTTGTAACGATAACTTTTTTTTGTTCTTGATTGGTAATGTGACCTAACTCTTGTAAATTAACTTTTTTTCACACTTTGGTATTGTTCATTATATGCAAGCACATAAACGTGAAATAACTTGTGGTTAAGGTGTGATATTTTTTCCTTCCTCTCACTTCTTACTGTCAGAATATTGTGCATAAGAAATTGATACATTAATTTATCTTAAAATTCACACTATAAGTTACAACATAAAGGTAGTAATGTAATGATACATTGGTTGAATATTTAGTAACGACATCTGTTCTTTTCTGTAAATGATTAAGCCAGTTCAAACTTAAGATTTAGTTATGTGAATAAATTGACCTGTATTTTTTCTTTCCTAAGTAGTAAGCATTGTTTCTCAAATAGATAGTAGAAAGAAAAAACCGATGAACCATAGGTGTTTTGTTCAAAAATATATCGATTTTGATCATTTAAAACGATGATAATATGTAATATTTTAAACCGGAATGATAATTCTCATCTGCGCATTTTAAAACGTCGCTTGAATTTCATTACATGAAATAAAATAAGTCTGGGAAATTGTTGATTAAATCCATATCAAATTAATGATTTGGTCAGTGGCTAGCTAACATGTAAATTACCTTGTTTTATGGAGGATTTAAAGCAAGAAAGTTTTTGAATAAAATTTTGAAGTTTATATATGAAGTAAATCTAACCATGTCGTTAACAGATAATTTAATAATTGGTGTATTCAGAATTCTTTTTAAATATTCTAGTAAGTAAATTAATTATATAGAACAGATTTATAAAACTTGAAATAGGTTTAGTAACACTGTCGAATCTTTAATAAAACAAACGAAGTAATTTACAGGTAGTTTAGATTTCGACATCAAATCACTGTTAGTGTAATGGATTACAAATGTCCTCTGGAGAAGGACTTTTTTTTCCTCATTGTGATACAGCCCTTGCTAAAGATAGAGGTATACGGTAAAAATACATACTCATAACTTTCGTTATTTACAAAACAGTCTCGTTAACTAAGATAGGCTTGATAGCATTCCATTACAACCCTGAAAAAATGTCTTTATATCTACCTGTTATACAACACCGATTAGGTATCTCCTGGTTTTAGACTTCTTAATATTGTGCTCTTTGCCTTGGCTTAATCTGGTTTCATAGCATCAATCAGACTTTACATGCACATGAAAGCGGTGAATTAATCACCGTTTGGTTGGTAAATACAAAATACGACCTCAGTTAAAATAGTTTACATCGAAATTCACAAATCTTCTATGCAATTATAATATAAAACATTTATTAAATATCTAAATTTGAATAAGTGTCTACTTATAAAACAATATAATACGTCCATGTCTAGAAATATATCAGATGAATAGAGATTGAATTTCATTTTACTAAATTAAATTATTCTTACCGTTTTTGTAGAAAAAGAAAAACCTTTTCTTTATTCTCGTAACTTAAGATGACAAGTTCTCTTCTTCTCCTTAAAGAATAATTCATTTATTAAAAAATAGGCAATACATATAGTATTACAACTGAACGTACAATTTTAGTATCCTATTTTAGCATACTAAAGCAAAAAAAACAATATTCCCTAAATATCCACTGTCTAATTTTAGTCTATATGTATTTCCATCTAATTTTTTAGTAAATAGTCAATAGGCTAAAGTATATAATGAAAAATGTTGTTTAGTGACTATTTTATTCTCTAGAGGTGAGGGTTGCGCAACGCCATGGATTGATTGAAGCTAGACAATAATAACAGCAGATGCCGACTCAGTCGCCTAACGGTTAAGCGTTCGCACGCGAGACTGAAGGTCGATTTCCGCGCACGGGGTTCCTAGATGCGCTCTGCTGATGAGTCCCACACTAGGATAGGACGGCCGTCCAGCCCTTCTAGGTTTCTAATGATGATCCAGCTTGGATCGATTCTTGAAAGCTCATCTGAACAACTTGTCACAACAACAAACAATAATTCTGATTGAGCAAAATGATTCTTAATTAACTAGGATTTTGATTGTAAAGGTGGCTCGTCGTTGCAATATTATTTATGCTTATCATTTAGTATAATTCATCTACTAGGTGGTTTCTTACAGTCCTATAAACCAAAAGTTTTCATTTTATAACTCTTTTGGTTTGAGTTATGGTTAAGCCAAGAAAGATTGATTTTTAAGTGGGTTCTTGTTAGGCATTTGTAATAAATATTTTAATAATGGTTAACCCATAGTTAGGTCTTAAGCCATACACACATGCATGTCCATTAACGATAAATTTTTAAATGAATACACTGTACTTCTGTACACACTTCACTGACTACAATTCTTTTTGTTTCATTTGACTTCTGTAGAGTAAGCACTCATTTTATCAAAGATATTTATTTCACTATTATATACATATTTAGTTACATAATATTTTGTGAACAAGATTTGTGTCGAGCAAACAAACTATCGGAGAAGCGCCCTTAAAACAGTATAAGTAAGAATTATGTAACTATAAATCTTAATTATTACTGAATCTTATCGATTTTCATTGAATAAATATTGATCAGTGGTTTTTCTGAATAAGACTTTGATAATGAGAATATTGATTGAAGACTAGACAAGTATGATAAACGTCACTAAGACTAAATGATGAGCATAAACTTAGCATTGAAATTTTTAGACAGTGACTAATGATATATTGTTTACCAATTATTTTTCTGTGACTCTGTAGTCAGCATTACAGGAAAATTGTTTTTAAATATTAAAGGTATTCAACGAATTATTGAAATAGGCAACATAAATTGCAAACACAATTTCACTTATTGCTTCACAACGCAATATTGTTTCTGTTTATATACAAACAGAAATAAAATTCATTTCAATTTGCTACATTCACCCACTTTTTACCAGCATCCATCGGTCAATTAATAAATTGTAAATAATGATAAAATTGACGGAATAATTTACCTCAGAAGTTAAGTTTTGTTAACGGTACTCGATTTTCCTTTACTCGAACGAATCGCTGTAGAACTAGAAAACTATTTTGTTTGCATAATCTCTGATAAACAACAAACATGTTCAATTCTCATTTTAGTTAGTGAAAATCTTGATTTTTATCTGATTAATTAAGAACATATAAATGCGTGCTTAGTTTCTGTAATTTTTATTAACGTTTTATCTTTCCTGATCTGTTTTTTGATGAAAAAAGTTTGTGTTAATTTAGTTTACTAAAGAAAAATGGAGACAAAAGGAACTACTAATAAACGAACATTGTATACATCGTAAACTGATAAGTGTAACTTTTAAGTAGAATAGTTTTTAGGTGCTTTATACAGTGTGATGGTGTTTCAGCTCCGAAAAAATGCGAAAAACCTTGATTACCTACAACATAACGTATCTCTTGCTGGAGAACACTATCTAACAATAAATATGGATTAACAGTTATCTGTCGATTCGCTTCAGTTATTTAAAATGGAAGGAAAATTTTGGAATAAAACATCATAACCTGAGGAAGTAAGCAGGTTAAATGTGGAATAGTGACTTACATATATATAGGAAACTGACTAAAGCTGCGATACCATTTTGTTTTGTTTCGTGTGACCGTCTGTCTGCATATTCTAGAGAATTCTTTACTCATAAACAGATAGCCCCCAAGTATTTCCTGACATTCAGTTATACTTTAGTTATCTCCAAACTATCGTAAAATTCAATGTACATTAAAAGTCATGATGAATTTATTCCAGTCTCGAATTACTACATTAACTAATATCCTCTGGGAAAATACACTAAATTTAGGAAGTTAATTTCCGTTCAGCTGACAGATAAACCTGGAGAGATTTACTAACCGCAGTCAGAAAGTTTAATAAAATTGGAAATAATCTAAAAGCTGAGAAGTTTTCATGATCATATTTCCAGGTTATCTGCTGGTTAAATATTTGCGTCACTTTATAGTATACCCTTATAAAATAGAATTTTATGTATTGAATTTCATTAACTCTATTAAGCTAATTCATATTATCTCGAAGTAATTTGAAATTTATATATATATATATATATATATATATATATATATATTCTGAATCCATTCAACCCATAGTTCCCACTACGAATGGACCAGAAAAGTTGATTGATTTAAAAACCATAATTTCATCTTCAAAAACACTACTCTTAAAAAAGTAATCAACATGAAATATGTCTCAAGTACAAGTTTATGCACTCAGCTCCCAGTTACAAATTTTGCAAGCTGATGATAATATCTGACTGTTCAAAATGTCTAGAACGGGGTTTCAGGAGGCCAGGAATAACATTTCGTGAACTCGCATCGTTTGCATTGGCGGTGTAGTGAGATAAAGGAATGCGGGTATAGTTAGTCTTGGAGATAAGAAAGATATCAGGGGGTGTAGGAAGGATTTGGTTTTGACAAATTTGGTCTCGCGTGCTGTTACTGGTATGTAGTTTGAGTCATAACTTTACACTATTTACAACAAAATTCATAAAAATGAACAACTGATTCCAACTGTAACGCATAAAGCTTTATTTTAGTCTCAGAGTTCCTGTAAAAATAAAATTTATATGGTAACTGTTATTTTTGGGGTTTTAGATGACACTTTTGACTGAGGCATCACTTTTCAAAATAAAACTGTAATATATAAATCTTTAATTACTTAGTACAATCCTATGTTTTGTGTTTATGTAACCAGACTAATTTCAATATATATATATATATATATATATATATATATATATATATATATATATATATATATATATTGAAATTACATTAAAACATCCCATTAATTAAAATACTTTGACGCACTATGACAGGATTTGTGTCTTTCCTTGAATGAAATTACATATTAAAGAGATTTCACTAGAATCAAATTTTCCACCAAATTTATTGTTACTTGTTTAAGGTTAATCAATAAAGTTACTGACATGTTCTAATATATTAGATCCATACTTACAGTTGAAATGAAATAATAATATATCTATTAGATATTCAATATTGTTTAGTACCATGAACAATTTTCAGCAAAAAGACATAAAACATTTGAATACGTTCTTTTTAATTTACGTTAAGAATGCAAAATCTTTGAATATACACCTCTAACCACAGAAGTCTGTGATTAGTTCACTTACAACTTAACATTTTTTTATCGTTCTGAGTGAGTAAACTCCAAAAAGCCTAATGCACATTAAATAAATCAGTAAGTCTCTACAAATTCATTATAAACGATAGTCAAAAAAATCAAAATCGATTAAATATTTCTTTGTTGTATTCATCTTGTTCCATTGTGGTTTACCTAGATAATGACATATAAAACTCCTATCATCATGTGGAAAAACTGAGACTTCTGTTTTTGTTTAAGACACATGTAGTTAGTTCACTAAAATGAAATATTATTGTCACTTAACATGCTAATAGGGTCATTTGTTACTTAAGTATTAATGTTACCGAAGTCGCCTACTTGATTTAATGGGTCGAATATATGTGATAATGTAACCAAAGCTAATATTATATTTATTCAGTTTGACACTAACAATTAAAAAAACTTTTTAATAATAAGAGAACAAAATACAGTTATATGTACTTGGATTTGAATATTTGTTTAACGCAAACATATGATATGCCATTAAAAACAAAGAATTTCGTCCTAGAACTAACGTTTGATGTTTATAAAGTAATCCAAAATCTATGTTTTGTACAGCAGGCTGTGTTCAATTCAGTCACTGAATCATTTTTCTGGTTAGTATTTTTTTTAATCGAGTCAGTTTTCTACGGTATGGAGTTGCCAACCCCATGCACAACTCTCCTCCTTTATCCAGGCTTCGGACTGGCAGTAGCCGCAGAGGGGTTTCAGACGGAATTATTCAGTCACTGAGTTTATATCTAATTGTGATTGGTTCTTAAAATAAGTCAGATGAAATCATCCAGTTTTCGAATTAAGAGTCACTTGTAGAGACCCATTATCAATTTAACTGTAAACTGGGCTAATTATGTCGTGAAGTTGTGTACTCTATCAAATTCAGTATACATAACACTAAAACTATAAGACTTAACACTGTGTTTAATGCTAAGTAAGAAATTCCTTTGGAGATTTTATTATAAGGTTATAACTAACTAAACATTAAACTAACTGCACTAGTAAAGCATACTTTATTTACCCTTCATTAAACTAAGAGTTCATAAAAAAAATTGAAAGAAAGCACACACTTTGAATAAAATATAACGAAATTTATTTTTATTTCATTAAATAGTAGTTCTTCAATGTAACATTGTTAAAGGTCTTCAGAAACAAAAACTTCACTGCATCAAAGTATAAATTTGTTCGTAATCATTTTTTTATAACCAAAATTATGTCATACTTAGCTCATATATTTATTAGACTTTGGAATATAATATTACTTGTTTGTCAAATTTTTAAACCAGTCAAGCTTACAAGTGATACATATAAATACTTTTCACCATAATATATATATATATCTAAACAACAGTGAATTTTTACAATCGTTCACATTACCTTAATTATTTTCTGGGAATTAAACATGTTGACAGAAGTCACTAATGTCAAAATGTAAACAGGAAACTTTATTTATCACATGTTTCACATACTTGAAGAACACCATTGTATGAAGTTATATATATATATATATATATATATATATATATATATATATATATGTATATATATATATGTATATATATATATTTGTATATATATAGTTGTAGGTAACAACCAACCGAATAAGAAAGTAAAATGATGATTGACATTTGAAGTTTTTGACTGTTAATGTCCACTACATAGAAAAAATTAGTAAAGAACATAATAACCCATGTGACAACTGTGTCTGCAAACAAGTTTTTAAAAAAAACTCAAGGTTATATTATTTTAAATGGTAGACTCTATGACTGTTTACTTCTCATTACGAAATAGGAGATGCATGGGGAAGTAAGAAATTCTATATGTTTGCAAGTTTCAGCCTACGACTAAAACAATTCAACATGTTTGACCTTGTACCTATACCACTAAAATATAAAGAAAATGATAACAAGCACCACAAACTAAAAGTTTAAAGCAGATGAAAGGGTTAAAAAGTAAAAGGAAAGGATTTTCAATACTTTTTAGATGACGGAACGCCACTAGAATTATTGAAAAAAAAATTTTTTCCCACTGGCCTACGATAATCATTTATCATAGTCAAACAAGACGGTTAACTACACTTAATGGTTTCACTAGTTTGAAGTTAAATCTAATAAACTAATAGTTCATCATAGCAGAAAACTTCCGTAACAATCTGATATATGCTTTTATTGAAAGATATATTCTTAGTACCATAGCTATTATTTTTAATTTACCGTGAATATATAAGGCTATGTACGTTTGATTATGTTCCCCTAGTTTATACTAGCTAAAATGTAACCAACTTGTGATGATCAATATCAGTAAGACATCAGGAAACCTGATCTCTATACAAATGAAATAAGCCAAATTAGTCAAGAATTTATAAAAATAAAACATATTAAGAATCTTCTGGGGAAGATATGTTGGTTTTGCCTGTTTCTATACCTGAAGATAATCTCTCGCAAGGAAAACTTGATTAAACTTGACCAAATATATGTACACATTTTCTTTGTACAAAGGCTACAATATAGAAATGCGCTTCATTCGATTCACTATAATTCTATGCAGTAGCTAACTTCCGTAGATAAATAAAGAAACATTACAATCTCTATTTCATGAGGGTTTGTTATAAAGCGATCAACTTCAAAACTTCTGTCTAAAAAAAATCATCTTTAGTAAGAGTTACAAAAAAATAGAGGAAATCGTCACGTAAAAAAAAAGTTAACTGAACAAGACACACAACTGAATCTGTGATTAATTGTACGTTTATTCTGAAAAAAAAATGTAATGGTATATTTTATTTTCACCAATCAAATACATACAATAATTGGATCAATGAGAAATCTTTTGTAACATTCGGTTAGTGAGAATTTCGCCAACTGATGCAAACAACATAATATGATTTCAAAGCATGTACATAAAAATTTACTGGCTCTAACTGGCGCAGATGACAAATGACAATCGATAAAAAATATATAAATTTTTAAAATTCTCCTGATAGTAAATTAGAATTTTCAAATAGAAGTAGAAAAACGCTCATCCTATGTTTTTCGTGCTACTCAATAAATTATTGGACGGTCAGTTTAAAAGAAAACAATATTATTTAAATGCTGTCTGCATACTGGATTGGTATTTTTAATATCCACACTGTTTTAAATGCAATATTCCTTACATTTAATGTTGAACTTAAATACACAGTCTAGGTTGACTGTGCATTCGACAACAATACATGTAACAATGTCCTTAATAAAAAAAGTGACTTTAAAACTTAATACAGCAAATAACTGATCTTCAAGAAATATCATTATCTTTCTTCAAATACAGGATGTATGAAAAGTATCACTGTAATAAACAATCTTTAAATCCAAATACCAAACTCGTCATAAATTCTGAACTATTCACTTTTCTTATGGTGAATTTTGAATTGGAATTATTACTATAAAAAATGTTGCGAAGACTGTTAGACTTAGAGTATTGTATCTCAGAATGACTTTGGTTATTCTTAGCATTATGAAAGAAGATTTTATAAAAGGAGAGTTGATAATTCACTAATTAGTTGAATGCATATGCCTTTATAGACATAACGGCTAGCATTATCAATCAACAGTAAATTTTTACATATTTAGTCATTTACAGTTTTTTTGGCTTTTAATTTTTATAGAAATTTGGGGTAAAACGCAGTACTTTCAAAGTTTATCGAACAATTTACGTTGCCAGTGGATATGATCTTACGTAATAGTAAATTTGATTCTTGTATAAAGAAGAAAACCTAAGTTTTTTTTCAGAAATGACTGAATACATTTTAGCTATCTAATTTCGGAGTTATTTAGTCTAAAATAGACAATGCTAGCTAATCCAGCATTGTAAGTATTAAATTCCGTTCTATCCATTACCTAAGATATGATCATGTGCTTAACATAACTATGGTACTTCATTTCTACTATTGGTAGGAATGAAGATTGTTTAATTAAAATGTTGTTAATATCGTGTGTAAAAACCATACTAATCTCGTAAACTAAAAATGACTTGAGAAAATACCGATTTAACATAATTTTTGCCTTCAATTTTATAAATAATCCATAAAGGATAAAATTTGTATTTAAAAAATCAATGCAATTCGACGAACTCTCAACAGCAATTGCTGTAGCATATTTTTTATCAAGGAATCAAGAGTAAATTTGATTGGTTACGCTTGTAGTTCACAACTATATATATATATATATATATATATCTTTCCACGGCTAGTGCTATAGCTCAAAGGAAAAATCTTCCATAGTGCTTGAATCGGTACAAAATTTTATTGGCAGACAGGAATATTTTTCAAGAGAAAATAAACAAAATGAAATCACTTAAATTAAGTGAATATCTCTAATGTTGATTTTCCCTACGCATATTTAAGTCTTGCAAGTAGTAAACACTTACACAAACCGAACATGTTCTCTGTCTATTACTTACATAATAGGTAATTAAGTATCCTAATTATTTTTATCATTGCAATCTTTGGAAGTGAATGAAACTTTAGAAAAATGAACACGATTCTCGTTTCATTCTACGTCATTCTCTTCCGAATTTCTTAAATAAATAGTTAGATTATCTAATTGGAATCATTTATGTCTTTATGTAAATAGCTTGACAATAGTTTTCACTTACAATTTTATCTAAAAAATTATATAAACCGAAACACAACTGTATTATTGGTTTTCTGTCAATTTAAAACGACGAACTGATTATCCACTTACTTAAAATGTGATAAAAGATTTTAGTAGTGACTTAGACAAGAATATATTATATGGTGTCCGTTCAGAGAAACTGTATTCCTATATTTACATATGATAAAACACGCAAGTATTAGCCTGAAAAACTTTGTTATATATATAATATGAAAATGATAGCTGACTTTAAGACACGCTCATGGAGAAATTTATGGATTTTACTTCAAAATATTAATGTTGACATGTATGACGTGAATACCGAGTCAATAACGCTAACTAAAGTTGCTTCATGTTTAGTCATGGTAAGCAAATAACTAACTTATTCACAAACCTAGACAATTTCAGCTATCACATATATGAAAATCATGCTATACATAATACTTACTGTTTTCATTATATAATAATTTTTTGTCATGCTCAAGAAATAGTTGGTTTAGTTCGTTTAATGGAATTGTGTAGGTGTATATATTAATGAAGAAAAAAAATTAAATGAAAACAATAAATGATCTTTGGCTTCATGGATAATATTAGCCACAGGTGAATTAGTTAAACCGATTGTTAATTATGTCAGCATAGCATATAAATAATGAGAATTTATCACTGACAACAAAACGGAACAGCGTAACTATGTATATAAACAAATTATAACAATTCTTTGCATACTCTATTCACCAACTACTTCAAATGACTTTTAAAACCAGTTGCATTAAAAATAGTTCCCACTACATAGTTTTCATTACAAGTAAGTAAGCAGAAGTACTGTGTAGAAACTACTTCCTTTCATCTTCACTCAAACGGCATTTGTACAATAGCTATATTAGACTGAGAGATACTAATTTAATATTTGTAGCATTGGGGTATTTAATTTTAAATAATGAGCAAATTTACTGAAATGAATAATTGATAAAGAGACTAATATTATTTAAAACACTAATAAATAACTGACATGCTTAAGATTTAAGAAAGGAACATGATATGTAAGCAGCTGTTAATTTCACGTCAATAATTAAGAACGTATTGATCAATAAATCGTACCTATCTGCTTAAACTGAACAGTAAAACTGTATATTTCTGATAAAGGCCAATGACTATTGAAGCGAAATATCGGACTAACTTTTTGCTAATAAATAACTTTGGTTTGTTTAACTAGAAAAATTCGTAAATTGATGTGTATGTAGATTTTTTTAAGGATATTTTTTCCATTGACAAATTTAATGTATTCTTCAGTCTCATTTAAAATTCATCGGATCCTAAAAATAAAATACTCACGGATTGTTACACAGCTATTTCATTTATTTAAGCCATATTATTTTTACATATATCAAGTTTTATTCATTAATCATTTTGCTATACATAGAGTTTATAGATCAGTCATCTTAATCATTTGAAAAAAACTTACAGATTTTAGGCATGGATTGATATTATCTCTGAAACCATTGAAGATACTTTAAAGCTATCTCCTAAGTTTGAAACTCCTCCACAATATTCATCGATAACTCTCCTATCGAAATAGGTTGAACTCAGGACCATCATGATTTATGGAAACTAATTCTTTTAAACTAATGAATAAATATATAGTGGTCTGCGCACAATACTTGAATCAGTTTGAGGTGACGTACAATCACCAACTAGTTCCACCATTACTAACTTCCTAACACAGACGACTTGTTGCTCACTAGAAAGTCACACAATACATATCTTAAAGCAAAACTATTCATAAATACACTGCATTTTTTTTAATCATTCGGATTATGAAAATTTATTTAATATAAGTTTGATATTAACAAAATAAATTGCTCCAAATTTCATATCAATATCAAACTGAAATTTTATGTACAATCTAATTGTTAGTTTACTTTTATTTGCCATCCTTTTTGATACTAACAGCGAGAAGTAATGAAAATTTTCCTATTAATCTTTAAATATTATCTTCTGCAAAACTTTTTGAAATAAATATCTACTCAACCTTTTTGAATATTACTTCAATTGGTTTTGTAGTAAGTAATATTTTCTCGTCATCTACGTCAGTTCCCAAAAGTTAGCAATATAATTATTTTATTGAGAATGAGTAATTCTATGACTCATTTGCATATTATTTAAATTCCCATTTTATTAAAAGGTAAATGACAGAAATGGCAAAAAATAATTATTTTCATATATAATAAATTTACTTCTACGACACAACATACTTATCATGTTTAATAGCAAATGTACATATAAATTCCTATATTTCTACTTCATGTTATTCAAGGTTATTTAATTAAACTCTAATAAGTTCACATAATACATTCACCATATTTCTCTGGTACTATTAAGGACAATTTGATGTGAATTTTCTATTTTATTTTATTGAATTTATTAATTTATTTAATTTAATTCTATGTTCTTTAGATTGCTTCCTGAATTTTTTTCTTAATTGACCGAGTCAAATACACATCAACATTCATAATTGAACAAAGAAGATGATGAATCCAGTCAACTCGTGATAAAGTAAGTCTATGCTTGCGAATACAATATATTTATTGAACAAAATATTTTTCATCTTTGTCTTCTTCTTCTTCTGCTAAGAAATAGAATTTTAAAACGAAATTTATCTCTGATTGTTACATTACTAGTATTAATATTTGTTACTTAATGGGTCATTTTAATTCATCAACTTTCATTGCCAATCCATTTGTCATGATCGAAGAAAAAACTATCAAAATTCTATATGATAAATGATTAAAAAGAAGAATCTTTAACTGTCTGAAAAACCATTGAAAATTATGAGATATTTGGCAGTCGTGATGCTCAAAAAATTTTAGGTGACATGATACATTATTAAATTACTATTATTATCATTTTTATTATTAAATCGTTCACGTGAACATAGTTTGCCAACTTTATCACAAAATAATAACACATCATGGAGTTCACAGATCAAGTAAGGATAAACACATCTAATAAACCTATGATAATTTAACAATGTAAAATCTACCGAGAATCCAATTCCGAGGAACTATAAATTCAGTTGGAAAAGCATCATAAATATTCAACCATAACTTGAAAAAAAATTAAAAAGAAAAAGCCACCTCAAATACTCAACAGAATAACATAAATTGTTGCAGTTAAATTACTTTCGAGATAATTTTCCTAACACTGGTTTTTCTCTTCAGTTGAACATTACCAACCATATAAAAACAGATGAAATAAGTTGTGTTATAAGGTATTCTTAGATATTTTTAAAAAATAAAAAATCCATTCAAATGAACCTAGATTATGGGGAAAATTTACAAAGATTTTCCTTCATGATTAATTAGTTTAAAATGAAAAGGATTAGGAGTTAATAGTTCTCCTCCTTTTTCCTAAGACCGTGGCAAAATCCTCAATGCTATTTAAAGTGAACACTTGATAGAATATCACAGTTAAACATACTAACTGAACTGAACTGAATGTGAATAGGTAGTAAACTTAAAAATTGTAAGAATCAGGATGTTTCTTTTGAAGAACAAAGAAACAATTTTTTTTTAGCAAGTATCATTTATTACTTCTAAAATTGTTATCTAACCGAATCAAATCACTGCGTACATGTTACAGATCTAAACATTCATTCATCTATCTCTGTAATGAGTGAAATAAAAATTTCATTACACCTTGTTACTTATTTATCTTTTAAGCATTATTCTCATCCTTGTACAGTTTGAAATTAATTAGCTTCTCGATACTTGTGTATTATATTAGTCAAAATGTGATCGATTCTCATGGAATGTTTCAATGTGTCTCTTTTTTTTCTGTTTGAAGAATAAAAATATAAATGAAATAAATTTCTTGTAGATTAAAATTTAATTAGTCAACTGTTTCCAAATGAATATAGATATATGTATATATATATATATGTCGATATTGTTTACAAATAAGAAAAGACTTGTGAATTAATTAGTTTAAGAAGAAAAAAGCTGTGAATTCTTATTCTCCACTTCCTTTTTTAAGTCTACAAAAACAAAATCATACATTTTCACTTGTATTTTTTTATTCTAAACTAATTACGTGGTAATGATTGTTACGCTACAAGATATAAATTATTAAATGAATTGAGAATATTTATTGAAAGCATTATTTCACTATAGAAATGTAAGAAGGGAAATTATTCACACTTGTTTAATTTGAAATGAGCATAGTCACTAAACAAAATGATTGACAAAAGCTAACAATTCACACTTTCAGTAGTTGATGTTCTTTCTACCTACCTACATATATAGTAGCATTTTCATCGGAAATCAATTTACATATGAATTTTGATGATGATGATAATAGTTGCAAGATTTCCCAGTTTACTTCTAATCTTTTTGATTGAAATTTATAGACATATGATTGACTAGTTGATTAAAATAACAGAAAAAACTCTTAATTTAAAAATGACTATTACAACTGTGGAATTTAGTTAACAAATCTACATTTATCGACTTGATATGTTTTATGGGTAGTGAATGAGGACACAGGTGGGGCAACCGAATTGTAATTAACGAAAATTACAGAGTTACTCAGTAAAATCGGAAAACCATATCGTAAATCGTTCATTTGCAAAAGATCAGTTCATCCTATGGAACTGGACTGTTCCTGTTGCAAAACATCACTCCATTGTCACTATTCATGCGTTTCATACAAATTCCGTTGTTTTCTAACTCTTCCTTTCTTGATCTTCCCCCCATATTATGCTACCAGACTTTACGTTGACACTCACGTCATATACTACTTATAAGTAGTTCGCACCACAGCACCACAATTAGAATGATTTTGTGATTTTCTGTTTATTCAGTATTTATAACTTACGATTTTGACACTAATATTCCTGGTGTCTGTGGAAATGTTTAAGCTCTGATACACTCAATCCCAGCTACAAACAAAAGACCGAACGTATTAAAATAATTGCATGACATTTTTTCTAAATAAAAAAACTACTGATGCAAATTTATTGGATGCCACAAGAAGATTATGAGAGCAATGTGAGACTATTAGAACGAGTTATCGACTGAATCAATTATCTAATATTCCAGGTTGATTCAAGTGTATCCACTATTAAAAACCTGGAAGCACTGTACTTCAGTTTCTTCCTAGCATGCTACTCAGGAGAATCGAACCCGGGACTTTAGGCAAATTCCTAAATGACATGATACAATATAATTTGACTTTTTTTAACGTATCTAACAGACTTAAACACTCCGACTTTTTCAATAAACTACAGAGAAGAAGTAATAATTAGCTATTCATCGATTGATTTTTATCTCAATGAACAATTGTTTGTTTCGAAATTCAAATGAACTATATCTTATTTCAAAATATTAAAGCTGCTAGTACTGTTCCACATTACTGATTGCTAGAATACTAAGATTCTTAATCTGCACTAACAACTTGTCCCATTAGGTGTTCGGTGCCACACTCCTCTTTGCTGAAGACGTGTAACTATGGTGAGCAATCCTAAATTATGAAGATAAGCTAGGCTTTTCTTACGATTCAATTGGACTTAAAGATTTGAGAGATGACGTTCATTATGAAGGTAGTATAAGGTAGTTGGACTGACTTCCAAAAGTAACGATTAGCTGATGGTATAATTGAAATTATTTTATACTTTATATGATATATTTTTGTAATCTTAAATCTTTACCATCTATTAAAGGAATCCATACGATGATGGTCCTCAGATTGAATTCCTAGAATATGATCTTGATTAACTTGATATTATTATCTTTTATAATTCTTGCATAACCTTACCTAACATTAAATCAGTTTCTCGGCATTAATTCACAAGGGTTTTAATCATAATAATTTTCTGGAATGAAGTAATGGAATCTACTATGAGTCAGTCTACTTAACTTCGCTGGAGTTCTTTGACCAGTAGACTAAAACTCGATTATCTCCTTTCTAACTTTCTCATATACTTAAGTCTCTATCTGTAAATGAGATTAGCAGCTATTGCTCGCTTAATGAAAGCGTGTATTGCTCCATTTATAGTCGCTTGAAATAATCATTTCAAAAGTTTATTTCACTGTATGCTGCTGAAATGTTGAGGTGCAAAAAATAACTTTGGGGTTTCTTAAACATGTAGTGTTATGCAGGCTTCAAAAGATCACCCGACGAACGATAATCCAAATCTGCCTCCGACTCTCACTGTAGATACAAATTAATACATTAAAAATCGGATATTGTTATAATTTTGTGTGGGTTGTGAGATAGTTATCCATCGCTAACTCAATATATTAATACATTATTTGGAATTAAGTATTCAGAGGTTGCGAACGTAAACTAATCTGATTTTTGACAATTTTTTAATGACATCTCAACTAGCTATAAAATGTATTTACTACCTCTGTGAACCATCTTCTTCATGGCCTTCCAAAAATGGCTCAGTAAGAAAACGTATGTTGTTACGGATTATATTGTCAAAAGTTGTTTACAAAACCTCACACGCTAAGTTTATTTTTAAAGGAAAAGTGACGCACATTGTTGTCATAATTGATAGAGTGCTATTTGGTCATAGACGTGCACGTGCAGTTAATCTTCGATCATGTTTCAAATATTATTTACAACTACCGATAACAAGAAACAAAAACTATTCTTGCTGTCAAAACCCAGTAAAAATAAGAATCAGGATCATCGATTAACTGGACAGTAGAAATTTTCACAAACTAAAACCTTAAGGCAAATAGATGTTTTCACTTTGATAATTCAATTTGAAAGTAAAAACAGAATAATAAAATTTTTCATTATTTACCACTGATATTCAAATATTTTAATCTTTAAACAAAAGTTAACAAGATAAAATATTAATACCATTTTTTTACAAATAAACTTTAAATTACAGAACAAAATTAGCATTAACTTGATTCTACTATTGAAATTTAATTAAATCAGTAAGAATTGATTGGACAGTTTAAAATCATAGAGAACATAGAAACGCAGTTCGATTAATTTAGATAAATTTGTCGTATGAAAAAAATGTTTTTGAATTACGTCAATATCCACCTCACATTTAAGTCGGTTTTTTCTATTTCGATGTTCCTTTTTCCTATTTTGATTGCTCTATTCTGTAGCTGCTTTTTTTATTTTTCTGAAATGGGTTTGTAAAGATTTTGTCCAAGTTGAATGTAATTTGTATCACAAATTGATGTCAGCTACAGAACTACTATAAATAAACCACCAGTCGTTCTTAACCTATTATCCAATGGTTTATCCAACAATTCCCTGTGGTTTAATTTGTATACTTTAAGCCAAACTGAGACAAATTAGCATTAAGTTAGATGATGTAATTATTTGAAACCATGAACCGATCAATGTTAGACCACCACTAAAACCTGGAAGCACTGGACGGCCGTTTCCTCCTGGTATGGGACTCATCAGTGGCAGTGCGCATCCACGACTCCTGCACCCCACAGGATTCGGACCCAGGGCCTTCGGTGTTGTGCGCGAACGCCCTAACCGTTAGACCGCTGAGCCGGTGTCTAACGCTGTTAATG